TATACGATATCTACATTACGCCTTGATGTATGACAGTATTGTGGCCAACATCAGTGCGGTAACTAAGATTGGGTGTCCCGCTGGAAAAGCCGGCCTAATGTCTGATTTAAACGGTTTGGGTGGCTCGGTGTTGACATCCTTAAGCCTGACAAGCCCGGCCATTCTTCAGTACGGGTTACTTATATAATAAAAAAAAAAAAAAAAAAAAAAATGAGGAAGTCATGTCCTATAAACGTAAATTATAGTGAATAATATATAGCAAATCCATAAAGAAAATAACAAAAATTTTGTATTTTCTACAACAAAAACTATTTTAATACAGAAGTAAAACAAAGGTGGAGATTGTTTTACAAAGTATTAAATAATTTTTATATGTCATGTATAAACACATCAATTAGAAGTTTGTTTTTTTGAAAATAGTGTATTAATGTCTTCTTTTTTTTTTTTGCTCTTTTCTTTTTTTTATCTTTTTTGTTTTATTTCTTCTTTTTGTATTTGGATTACATTTAGGTTTTGTAGTTTTTTCCACTTTTTTTTATTTTTCTTTTTTTAGTTTAGTTTTTTTTATATACTTGTCATTCTTTAAACAAGGATTATAGAATTCTCTTGCTTGGATATTAAGAAGAGGAGAGTCTTAAGAAAATTAGCAATCATGACATACCTGTAGATGCTATTCAGTGATTTATTTATTTTCTTTGGTAGCAGAAGAGATAAGTAGGAAGATAAAATTCTACTATAGCAGGTTGAACATCATCAGCAAATTTAATAAAGTGTAATATTGTGCAATAATTTACAAAGTATAAAAAAACTGTAATATTACATAATAACTTTCGCAATATTGTGAAATATAAAATTACAAAATATTACATAAGATTATTATGCAATATTATACAAGAAATTACGCAATATTACGTAAAATAATTTGAAATAATTTGAAACAGTTTGAGATAAATTACTATGAACTATAAAAGCAAAATAATTCGAAATAATTCAAATAATATTAAAAATGTTTGATATAATTAAAAATAATTAAAATTAAAGAGCTAATATTTTTAAATGTCAATATTCAAGAATAAAACAGATTGAAATAAATTACTATAAACTATAAGAGCAAAATAATTTGAAATAATTCGAATTAAATTAAAAATATTTGATTTAAATAAAAGAAGTTTGCTAATAAGCAGCCTAGATAATTTTATTAAACATCAGCCTACTATATAAATTATAATACATATTGTGTAATATAAATATTCTCAAGTTTGTTACTATATAAATTATATTGTATAACCAAACAATTATTGGAATTTTATTATACTACATATTCACGTGACAATCATTCTACTACATAGATAACAATAACCGGTAACACTTTAAGAACAGTTAACTCAGTGATCAACAATCATTTATTTATCAGAATTAAATAAACTGGCCTAAACTATATTCTAAATTAACTCTAAACTAACACTAATTTAGGCCAAAGATGATCATGTGATATTGTGATAATTACTGGGTTAACTCTTCTTAAATCTTTCCCAATAACTGTTCATTTAATTGGCCAGTACTGCAGTATTAAAGTTGTATATATCTGATATGTATATATGTATATATGTACATACGTACAAATTGTAAAGGATAAAATTGACCCTCAACCCGATAATATTCAGCACTAATCTCCAAAAACTGGTTTTTAAAATCAGTGACCTGCAATCATGATGTCATGTAAAATTACCAATTTTAAGAGATATGTTAAAAATATAACAGATTAATAGATCTCTCAAATTTATATTGAACATAATCATGCAAATCATGGGCCACACTTTTGCAAAGCACAATAACATAACTTTTCTGGTGCTATTAAAATTTTTTAAGCATTTCAATTCTTGACTAATTTTTCAATAATACATTTAAACACTTATTATGTAAAGTTGTACGATAAGAAAGAAGATTCTTATACCAAAGTAAGATCCCTAAACTATTTTTGAATTTGATAAATAAATGCTTAGATGTAAAATTTCAAACCTGACCAAATGCTAAGAAATTAGCTAATATGCTGAATCGTTTTTATGAAGATTAAGAAATGAAAAATTAAATAGTTTATCAAAGAAATTCTTTAAATATAAGAAGTTTGTTTTTAAACACTAACCCTAACTTGAAATATTAACATGCACCCTTACTCTAACCATCAAAAGGGATTCATTTATTGAAATTTTTTTTTGCGTATATATGAATTTATACCTTTAAATTCGCATATATATTTTGTACTTTATTAATTCTAAGTTACTCTTAAAAGTAACTGAAATATATAGTAAACAAAACTTAGAAATATTGTACAAATTAATTATATGTAGCAATAGTATTTAACATTAATTATGCAGTTGCAATAAAATATACAAGCTATGCATTTTGATAGTGCAAATAAGTATGATCAGTTGCATTACAAACTTTACAAGCCGCACTGCAACTTCTTGCATTATACCCTCCTTGAAAACAATTATGACATGTATACCCATCCCCAGAATGAATATTAGCACTTGTAGATTTATCTTTTGAATTCTTTGAAGCATCTTCTTCTATAGCTGATTTTAATCGATTAGTTGGTTTTCTTTTTGGTTTTGTTTGTAGTGAATTATAAATCATAGGCTGACTTTGACTACTTGTAGAATTAGAGTTTGCTTGCTCTACTTGTTGAATCAAGCCTTGCAAAGTAGCTATAACATGTGTTAAGCAAAATTCTGCTGCCAATGATGCTAATTTACATTCTAAAGCTGCATATTTACTATAAATTTGTCTTGACATAATAGATTCTTTAATTTTAATATCTTGAATTAAATTATCTTGTTCTGAATTTCAAGTATCATATATAGAAGTTAAAGCTAAACTTTCAGTTCTTGTATTAATAGTATCAACAGATATTCCAGAAAAATCATAAGTAGTATTAATCTTGTGCATCTCAAGATTCTTTTTGCACCATTGACTCTTTATTAAAACTATGCTAAATTTCGCAGTTTTTGTTTGTAACATTATTTGAAAAAAGTGGCGGCAAACTATCCTTCACTAATTAAAAGTAGGCATATACAAATATGTGAGTTGTCTTTAAACAATGCTATATAGTTAAATGATATTGTATTTGTTACTATATGCTTGATCTCCCAGATTTCCAAAATATTAATGATACTAACACAATTAATGAGAGACTTGAGTGCAATTTGATATTTGTCAGTGTAATTTTCAAGACAATTAGATGTATCAGAATCATTGACCTTTAAAAAGTTTAAATGTTAATATAAAACAACTACTTATACTTAACAACAAAATTAACCTTACTTTATCACAATTATCATATCTATTAGAAGAAATCAATCTTGAATAATATTCAAAACAGATATCGATTTGAGCCTTTTGAATTCAAAAAATTTTATTTGTTAAAACTGATTTAAAAAGAGCAATGATGTCTGGAAAAACATGAACTGCCGATGATAATCTGATAGTAAATGGTAAATTTTCCAAATAGTCACGGTATTCAGCTTTTTGAAGCTCTGAAGATAACATATTTTATATCCTATTAAAACAATTTATTAGCGTTGAGTGTAAGTTAACATATTTATATATAATGCTATTAATAGATTCTACTCATTAAGTAGAAGATATTCCGGTATTAAATTTCTAAAAAAGGGCATTATATATTAATTTAAACCCAATTCTGATTTTAGCTTAATATGACTATAGGTTTGATTATAATTATCTCAAAGGTATAGCACTTAGCTCATTTTTCTTTAATTAAATATAAAGTATTCCTCAAATACAATGAAGCTTCTGGAAATTTAACACATAATGAATTGAATCGTAACTCAAAAATCTCTTCAAACAAGGTATTACGGCATATAAAAAAATCAGTTTGAAATGCTATAAATTGGGAACCAAGTAAACGTATTAAATATTTTTTTATATTTTAAACTATATGGAAAATGCAGTGTAAGTGTCGAGTAGTTAGAAGTGTAGTTTCAATTGCTAGTCCTAGTCCAGTATCGCAATCAGAATATATCATTGTAGGTGATAAGTTATTTGTAGCTACAAGAAGATTTTTAAAAACCCATATGTAAGACGAGGTTGTTTCATTAGACATTAGTGCTTGACCTATTAATTTTGAACAACGATGCTGATCAATATCAACAAATAAGCATAATGCTATCTGATATTTATTGGTTCATGCAGTATTATCTGTTAGAATAATATCATGATACTTTAAATATAGGTTTTGTTGGTGGGAGGTTATTCAAAATAAATGAAAGAGAATATTTTTAATACAATGATATTATATAAACCATGTAGGATCGTTCTCTTTCATTTTTTATAGTTCCTTTAGAAGGTTCGAAGTATCATTTTCAAGATCTTGCTCAGGTCTGTTGTATCACATCTTCGAAATTGTTGAATAGCATTTGCCAAATCTTTGTCCAAAAATAATTATTTCTTGAATTCACCACTAAGAAGCTATCTTAATGTATGCTAATTAATGTCATGAATTGTATTTACATAGAATTTAATCTTGTCTATCACATTTTGAGGAAGCTGTCTGTAAACATTAGCAAAATGAATAGTGCCAGAACTAGGTACATGACCATGATGTTTAAGATCTATTTTAGTTATAGTTGGACTTTGTGCCTTAAATAGCCAATACATATTAATAAAGCAAGTACAGCCTGTCTTAATTGATTCCCTGTTATGCTGTTGCAAAAGATCAATAGCTGTTTTTTTGATTGAAAATTTCTAGCATGTTGGCATTTAAAAACATACTTATACACGTTGCTATTTTTATCCAATTTTTTGTCTTGAATTCACCACACAAACCCAGTTTGTTGCCTATATGCCAATAAAACCAAATATGCATGGTTCTAGTACTTAAATGTTATTCCAACACATAATCAGGATGCTTGTTCAAAAGCAGCATTAGGTATTGAGAGTGTTTCGAGTGACCTTATTTTTGTTATTTTAGCACGTAACTCCTAAACCTCTTCATGATTTTCAGTATGAGACGAACTATCTTTCTGAATACTATCTTCCTGAATACTTTTATTATCTTCCTGAATACTTTCATAATTATCCTCATTATGACTTTCAATATTAGACGAAGTACCTTCTTGAAAATTATTATGAGCTTCATTATAACCTTCACCTTGAAAATTAATATCGCCTTAAACAATATAAAAGACTTCTTTTCTATAAGTTTTAGCATAAGAAAAAATATTTTCTTGAACATCTTGAAAGACTTCTTCATTAATAAAATCATCAAAATTGATATCAATGATACTAAACTCATTCATTTTTGTAAAGTATTATATATAGAAACTGTTAGATCAAATTTAGGTGAGACGATAGAATAGCTATTAATTCTGATACAAGTATAAAAAAAAAATCAGCCAAGTAAAATTAACAAACCATATTTAATATTGCTATAATGCAAAAAAAAAAAGCAATATACGAGTTAAATATATTGGCTCAAAAGTAAGACTATAAACTCTTTTTTTGTCAATTATTTCATGTGATAAAGTTGAACTGCTTATTCATTAACAATGTACAATTGAGATAAATATCGAAGTTGAAAAGGATAATTAATAAAATATTTTGAACAAAGATTAAACAAGTATATAATAACAGGTAAATGTTGCAGTTATTAGTATGTGATGCAAAATCTAAAAATATGCAAAAATTAGACAAAAGAAATATACTAACCAACGTAGAGTTAAATAGTTAAACCATATATTGGCTCGAAGTATGGACTTATTATATTTGCTTTTTGAAGTATCTTTCGTGACGCATCTAACTCTACTTTTCTTTTTTTTCGTGTTTACTACAGTATTATTTCACAATACAGACGCCAAACTGCCTTTATTAAAAAAACTGTATACAGTTAACGAAAAGAAAATCGATCATTGTTATAATCACTATTTATTTTGTTTCACAGATTAATTATATCATAAATAGCACATGCATATTAATATATTAAATAAACTTCAGTATATAAAACTGTATATATAATGCCGATCATACTCTATAAAATATACTATAGGATGTTGTTTTAATAAATCCGTTAGGTTGATTTTTATTAAATCTCTTAAATGATATTTATTATTTTTATTAACTAATATTAAAATAAGATATACTTATAAAATTCGAAATTATTTTCATGTTAATAGTGAAGAAACAAAACTTATTTGTAATAATTGTAATGCATTTTATGAAATTAATACTCAAGTTACAAATCTTAAAAAATATTTTGCAAATTATTATAAAGAAGACTATGATTTAATTATTCAAAAGAATAGTAAACAAAAGAATCAAATACAAAAGTTAAATCAAACTCAATGATTTGTCAATGAGGAATTGAGACAAATTGAAAGAAATATTATAAAAACTAAAAATAATTTGATTACTCAGAATAATGAGAAATTAGTTATTCGACATATTCAAATTGAAGATTTTAATGAAGATGATTAATTATATTACTAAAACTAAAATTGAAGAAGAAATATTAAAAGATCAAGTTTTAATTTCTATTCAAGAAGTGGGTCAGGTTCATAAAAAACAAAATATTAAATTGGTTGATAATTTAGATAGTATTTATAAAAAGCGATAAGAAGATATAGTTAATATTATTGATAATATAGAATTAACTAAAGATAGTATAGTTAATATTATTAAAGATGCTATTTCAATCTCTAAAAAATGTAAATTTATTTTAAATAATATTTATACATATATAAATAATAGTTATTGAAATTATTATTACAAAGATAGTGAAAATAGATCATTGTAGAATTGATACTTGTAAAGTTAAAAGTAGAAAAATATGGTATTTCATTTTTTTCTTCAACTTCTTTAGTTCATTCTCATAGATTTTGTAATACTTGTTTTAAAGAATATAAATAATATAAATACCTCAAATATTTTAACAATAAAAAATATTAAAAAAAAAAGATTTATTATGTTTTCTTTTATTATTTGAATTAATAGAAAACACAAATATAAGAGGTGTGGCGACTTAGTGTAGTGGTCTAGTCGTCACCCTCTCCAAGTGGCAGGTCTAGAGTTCGAATTCTACAGATGACGATATTTGAAAAATAGACTTGTGTTCGGTTGATGGCTAATGTATATCGGTTGGATTTAATCTGTAACTTCGGTCACACCATCTAGTAATGGGAGCAATAGTGCAATAAACCTGAGAACCGACATAACCGAAAACCTATTTGGGAAGTCCCGAGTTAGGAGTAACAATGATCTTTGATGGTATTACAAGAGGGCTAAATTCGAACTGGGGCCCGAGATCAGAGAACCAAACGACCAGGTTCTAATGGTGGAAGACACACCAGCCGAACTGCCGAGTTCTGTCGCACTGGAGGAAAAGGACATACGCTTTGAAAGTATGTACCAAGAGGAGGGCGTCCTTCAGGTATCTAAAGCCTGGGCAGACTGACCCTTTCGGGTTGCCGGCTGGAAGTAAGGGAAAGAATCCGAGTAAGAAGACGGTCAAATGCGGGTATCAGGGTTGTTGGAAACCTAATAAGAGCGAAAGTAGGTAATCACGGGAGTTCAATAGTTAGCCCTGACCCCAAGTACATGGGTAGAGCCATGGCATAGGTTACTGAAGTCTAAATAAAGAACACATGTGTGAGACATGTGATATCTAGCAAAATGGAAATATCCCACCATTCAATGATCCGGAGGCACCCAGAGTCGGGGTAAGCAAACTTCACAGGATGTGAAGACCAATGGTGAGATAAATAGGGTTAATATGACTATACTGGGCTGTAAGGTTTGGTATGTCTCACTCAAGGTGGTTATAGAAGTTCAGGAACCGAAACACCGCAGGAGGAGGGACCTGGGACATCTGCGGTAAGGGATGACTAATTAGGAAGATTGTGGCTTGAGATACAAACCGGGTTTCGGCAGTACCTTAAAAAGTAGCTTGAGATACAAACTCGATAATGGCAGCATAACAGGTACTAGTTAGGAATTTGTAACCAATGATGTACTGAAAATCTTGTAAAAATAATGTATAT